GTCACAAGAAGCCCTGTGGCTTAAAAAAAAAAAAAAGAAAGAAAAAAGAACAAGAAAAGAAAATCACATTTTGCATCAGTCAAGCCAAAGACTCCATGAAGCAATTTACTTTGTTCCTTTGACACCATCCAACTGAAAAATAGCCATCTGTGAAAAGCAACAAACATATTTGCCTTTAGGGGCCAAAAGTTAACTAAAACTAATGGGGGAGAAAGCTGGCCTGGTAAAAGACAAAGATTGGAGGAAGCATAAATATAAGAAAGTTCATTTTCCTCTGAATTTCACTCTGGCATAGGAACTGAGCAAGCGCAAAAGCCACTTAAGCCAGTCTGCATGCAGCAGGGAGGTGAGGAGTGTGTTGGAGCAAACCCAGACTCCAGAGACTGTGCTGTGAAACCCTTCCACGCAGACCTTGTTCTCCCAAGAGAACCCAGAAACACAGGCTTTCGCCTGAACGCATCTGATGTTTCCAATGCTGCCAATAAATTCCAGTTTTGATTTTGTTTTTCAAAATAGCCATCCAGCGCAGGCTTGACTAACCCCATTTACAGCCTGGAGCTAACCTGCACACCCAGGCCTGAGGGAATGTGGCTACCCAGAGTCTCTTCTCTGATCAAAAAAAGTGTCTCACTTGCTTCAGCTGGTATCTAGCAGGTCTTAACAGCTTGGCTTTCAGGCAGTTGAGTCAGGGAAAGTGCTATTTCCACATTCTGTTTGCTAGTTTCTTTTTATGACTAAAAATAATCCGAGTCATTATCTAAGGTCCCAGAGTGAAGCAGACCAGTTTTAAATGATGGTTTGTTTTTTTTGTTTGTTTGATTTGGCAATTGAGGAAAATGTGAAAAAGTAAAAAAAATGATGACAGACTAAAGATCTTTTGCCCACGTTTTACTTATCTCAAACTTGACTGCAATGCAAGACAAGCTCAAAAGCAGGACCGTCCTATGTTCTTTGTTCAGCTATACAGCACTCAAAATTCCTATATGTTAGCACTTCCTGTGATGAAAGGGAACCAGCAACCTCCAAAAATAATTTAGAAAACTATTTGAAGAAATAAATCCACAGTTTAATTTGGGTAGAGGTATAGGGAAGTTGTATACTTTTCATAGCTATGTTTTTATGGAAAGGAGGTTTCTGAATCTTTAATTTGTTTTGCTATCAAATAAATTTTTAATCATGTAACAGAGGAGAAATGCCTTATAGATTTTTTCCCCCTAGTCTTTAATTGCCAGATCTTTTTTCCCATAGAGGCACTGGGTAGGTTCAAACCACCAATTTTTTGATTACCTGTCATGCTTTCAAGAGTTGCACCAGGAGGGCCCAGTCAGTGGCTGATGGTGTGGGAGTGTAGGCCCACTGGGGAGATGTGTAGCCACCCCAGGACTCTCAGTATAACCCCTGTTCCTCTTGGTTCCCTTCGTGTCACTGCTTTATTCTCTGAAAGGCAACATCAGTGCATTATAAAATCTCGCAGATGCCAAGAAACATAAGGGTTAGAAGCAGTAGATCAATAGTGATGGATTGTGTAAGACACAATGTATGGAAATGATTGTAAGGAAACACAATGTGAAGGCGGGGGGGGGGGGAACCACACCAAAAAGAATTAAAAAACTTCATTAAAAAAATAAAGGGAAAAATTAAAAATATAACTAAAGGACACAGGGAAGGAAGAGAAGTTCATTGACCTTTTTTCCTTGATATTTTTATTATTATTAATTTTATTGAACATTTACAGAGACTTTGGATTTCCATTCATTCATTGTTGCACTCTTCTCCCTGCCCACCCCTCCCCCCACCCCCAGTACATTCTTCTTTGAAAAGTAAAAGAAAAATTCTTTCATTGTTTTACAATCCCTCTCCCCAGGTCCACCCCATTGTGCAGCCTTCATTCTGGACTCCTGTCATGACAATAATACTTAATCACATATCCCTTTTAAACATTTTTCTCCCTTATCTGTTTCAATGCAGTAAACATTGTTTATCCCATCTTTCTCAGTCTCCCCCTAAACCCAATGTCAGTCTTGTTTTATAACAGTGGCACTATGCAGTATTTTTCCTTTTGTGACTGAGATATTTCACTCAGCATAATGTCCTCCAGGGTCACCCATTTTGAATAATATTGCATGAGTTCCTTATTTTTCCATGCAGCGTGGTATTTCATTGTGTGCATATATGACAGCTTCTCTATCCATTCATTTGTTGATGGGCACTTAGGTTGTTTCCAATTCCTTGCTATTGTGAACAAAGCCACAGTAAACATGGGTGTGCATATATCTGTCTGGGTGGCAGTTATGGTTTCTTTGGGGTATATTCCCAGTAGTGGAATTGCTGGATCAAATGGTATCTCTATTTACAACTTTTTGAGAAAGCGCCACACCACCTTCCACATTGGTTGCACCACATTGACATTTTTAAAAGAGCAGTAAACCAAAGCTACTTAATCCCAAATTTTGAATGTTCTTGAACAACTAGAAAGTTTTAAATGGAAGATAAAATTCAGGGTAAGGTACAGAGAAAACATAGATATATATAGAATCCTAAAAGCAATCCCAGTGGCTTGTTAGAGCAACCACTTAAGGATTACATCCTTCTAAGAAAACGTCAAAATGTTTTTACCTTTTAGTTACTTTGAAGCAGCTGCCGTGAAAGTTTCCTCTAAGTTAGTAATTGGCTTTAAGACAAGCCTCAACTCATCACCATACAGTTGATTCCAACTCATGATATCATTCCAGGACTTAAGTAGACCTGCCCTATAGGGTTTTCCAATGCTGTAATCTTTACAGAAGGAGCTCTGGCGGCCTAGTCTGTAGGGAGCTGTGTGATCCCCAGGTGCCACCTCTCTGGCTGTTCTAATCTACGAGCTCCTCTGTGAGAGAAAGATGGGCAATTTCCTCCCATACAATGTACAGATCTGGAAAACTCATTGAAGGGTCAGCTGCTCTATGGCAATGAAAGTGAGTTTTGAATCTTTAGAGAAACAGACTGTCCCATCATTCTTTGAAGAACATCTAGTGGGTTAGAATTGTCAACTTCTCGGTTAATAGCTGAGTAATTTAACCATAGTGCCATCAGAATTCCCTCTTTAAGGAAAAGAGAGTGTGAAATGAATATAGGTCTGCTTACCTAGTTTATTAATTAATGTAGAAAAGGTATTTTAAAAGTTTTCAGACTCTTCCATGATATGCCCAAATAAATTTCTTGTTTTGTCCTTAGTAGGTAAGATGACTGTAATCAGGAAGAGTCTCAAGATTACAATATGCACAGGATATTGTTTAGTCCACTTTGGTTTTAAAGACACTGAGTGTCTCATCCATTGCCAGCAGAACCCAACAACAAAACCTTTTTTTAAAAGCCCATACTCACCCAGTGTTAAAGTATGTCTTTATCAAGAACTAAATGTTTCAATGAGAAAGCTTCATCTCGCATATTAGGGGCATGTTGTTAGAAGAGGCTATTCCTTGGAGAGTGACGTGTTTGGAAAGGTGGAGGGTCATTGAAAGAGAGGAAGATCCTCAAGGAGATGCAGTGACAGTGACTGTAACAATGGGCTCAAGAGTGTCAGAGAGAAGGAGGATAGCGCAACATGGGGCGGGGTTCAGATCTGTTGTTCATAGAGTTGCTGTGAGTCATACTCGACAGCACCTACCAACAATCTTAATCTTCTCTCGGGAAGGAGGTGAGGCATTGGGAAAAACCATGCTCAAAAGCAATAAAACCTTGGAATGATTTTACTGGACTTATAGCATCACTCCAAAACATGTATTTAGGGTAAAAGCTGGGAAAGCACTGACCATGTATGTATTTTTCATACTAAACTGTTTTGAGTGGCAACCAAACAACTTAGCAAACTTCAGCTGTGTCTGTGCCAGGCATTTCACATTCATACAGCAGCTTCGAAATCACCTGAGCTTCTAAACTGAATGCATGCGGCTACCTCATTGCTCTGAAACCAACAGCATCCTAATCTGGTGGGGTATTGGAGTCATCAGGACAGGTTTGCTCATTTTCATTTTGTTCTCCTAGGAAAAATTCTGTTTGCTACCATGCTTTTAAATGAAAGGAGTTTGAGTCACATATCTAATGTCTTTCAAGGAGACCTATTCATCCTTCTGTCTCATTCCATTAACTTTTATCGTCAAACCTAACATATCACAAATGAGTTTCAATTAAATGTTCAGGTTGGTCAGTTACTTTAAAATAAAAGTCTGGATTTTCTAAAAGATAGTGACATTATTAGATTTTTTTTCAGCATGGGGAAAGTATTTTAATTGCTCAAAACTAAGCCTACAATTTTGAAAAACATAGTTAAGTATATATACACACACATAGGGGTGGTTCAGTGGTAGAATTCTCATCCTTCATGTCAGAGATCTGATTTGATTTCTTAGCCAACCCACCTTTGGTCTGCTGAGGCACATATAGTAACATGATACACACCAAGTTTCAGTCAGTAGTTTCCATATTAAGACAGTCTAGAAAGGAAGGCTAGAAATCTACTACTGAAAGATAAATGTAAACAAATTAACTGAATATGTGTTTACATATATATTCATATCTTGATAGAAATGTCTTACTTTAGCAGCAGAGATATTAAACTACATGAATACATCCCTGGATATTATTGTGAATGTGTCACTGTCAGTTTAGTTTTAAAAAACCTTTTAGACTTAGCCAAATCCAAACTCTTTTTTATTTCATCTCAGTATACCACATAAAACTGGACTTTCAAGAGACAATTAAAAATATAATAACCATTTCCCCCCAAGAACTTCCTTCCACTGCATGTTCTAGTCTTGCTCCTTTTTGGATCCTGAGTGTGAGTTACTTTCATGGCTCTTGGCCATAGCAAAGATAACCTGAGCTTGCTTTTTCATCCCTGATAATAATTATGTGCCATATAATAATTATTATTACCCTTTCTTCTCAGTAGAGAAGTGGCTGGACCAATCCCCAAACCACTAATCCTCTCTTGCTCTAATTCCTGTCTTCTTCTATTACAGACTGGAGTTGAGGTTCCTGCTCTCCAGGGACAAGCTGCAGCTTCAGGGAGTAGGGACGGAACAGATTCAGAGCCAGCTCGTCATGTCTTCTCCTTTTCCTGGTTGAACTCCCTGAGTGAATGATGTTCATTCATTTGCTGCCCCTCTGCCTGCCTGGCAGGGATGCACAGAGGCAGCAGGGAACCCAGATGAAATTAACATGATGCAAATGATAAAAGGGACCTCTGAACAGGATTTCTACAAACAAACAAAAGAACTGAAATTCCAGATGACTTACCTAACACATTAATGGAAAATAGTTGTAGAAGACAATGGGGGGAAAGAAACTGGATCATATGCAAATCTTCTATTGTGTGGGAAATACTATGACAGGTGCATAGGAATGGTATGTATGTATGTCCACAGAAAGCAGGAGATGCTGGGTGGAAAACGGGTACTACATTCTTGTCTAGAATGGCACTGGCTTTTTGCCTTTAGATCACCATGGCTTTTCCCCTTTCCACTTTAGCAATGCACATAGGCAGTGAAACTTAGTTTAAAAATTACTGACTTAAGCGTTATTTGGACAAAAGTTAAATCATTGACCAAAGGTAGGAAGTATTTCACAAATGTTTCCTCTTTTTCCATAAAGATTAACTGATATAGATCTAGAAATGTTCTTTCAATTTTGTGACACCTTCATAGTCAAGAAGGTGACAGTCTAAGGCATCTCCTATGATATTTTCCCCCCTAATCTTAGTTTTAGATATTCAGATAATAGGCACTTTAATTCAAAAAGACTTCATAGCCAGGACTGTCTACTTTTTTAATAAACCCACTGAGACATCTAAATGGTGAACTATAGACCTGATGTATTTAAGTATATACATATATACATGTTTGTGTGTGTGCGTGCACACACAAACATACACACACACACAGAGCTCCTGTGCATATAAAAATATCATGCTTTATTTGTTCTGCTATAATGTCTCCTACAGAACATAAGCATAAGTCTACACTGTAGAGGCTATTAAATAAATCTGTTTTTAGAAAGAAATCTTATAATGGTTTATTTGGTGTTTCATATTTTCTTGTTAATCTAATAAACTTAAAATGTCCCAGGAGAAATGTTTGATCCATCTAAAATTAGTTGTTTTTCTTTCACAAATACTTGTGAAGTTTAAATTTATTGCCTTTTTTTAAGCTGTAACTAAACTATCAAAGATAAATGCATCTAAGACTATTAGATACACTAGTTACTTTCAGAACTGAGTAGTTTATATTACTAAGAATTGAAGTGATTATGTGTGGCTACTAATCAGAAGGTCGGTAATTTGAATCTGCTAGCTGCTCCTCACGAGAAAGATGGGCAGTTTCCTCCTGTGAAGATCAACAGCCTCAAAAACCCAATAGAAGGTTTTCGAATTAACTCGATGGTAATGGGTGGGTTTGATTTGAGGTTTATTTTGGCATAGACAAAAATACAGAGGATATTTGTGAAGTTGTGGAAGTCAAAATGTCCTTTCCAAGAAAAATTTTTCACTAGTAACCTTTTACAGCAACTAAATTTAGTTGCTCTAAGTGAAGATAAAGTCAAATTTCCCTTTACAAGTTGGCATTGGGCAATAATTTAAGAAGAAATATTTTATGCTGTCAAAGCCATATATTGATTATGTGAATCTGTCTCATATGGGAAGGGGGAGGAAGCAGCATTTTGGCAATAAATTTTGGAAGAAAACTCTGTCTCAACCATTCTCCACTCTTTCCAATTACTTTAGAAATTGGATAGCTAATACACCTGAATAATTAGCTAATAACTAATCCGATGTGAAATGTAATTACCATTATGAATCAATCTTTTATTTCTATAATTACCAAATCTTAGTACTAGAAGCAACCCCTCAATTTAACTCGTTCTCAACGCGAGACAAACCCAGGATGACTACAGGTCTTTATGAGCCATTATCTAGCCTTGTTTTCAGTAAAAGAAAGAAAAGAAAAGAAAAGCAGGTTTTGTTTGTTTTTGTTGTTACTGATTGGAAGTTTTGTTTGTTCTATTGGTTTTCTTGTTTTGTTTTATGATTATGTTGACGATGCCTCAGAGAAAGCCAAGTGCTGAGAATTTCCCCTGTCTGAGCATTCAAGAGGAGAAATGACATTATCTTTGCCGTTTTTATTAAAAAATACAAATGTTCAATCTTCTTCTACACAGTCCAATTTGACCAAGGATGGGAAAGATGTTTTATTACTGAAATGTTTACAAGAAAAAGTTGACTCAAAAAGAGCTTACAGATTTTTCATAATCCATCCCCCACCCCCCAAGAGAACAGCTTTCTCTTTAGTTTAAAGCACAACAGAAACAATCCGTAGGTTTGTCTGGCTCTCCAAACATTTCCTCCTTCTCTACAGTCTCATTAAACACCACTACAGAAACCTGGAAGTAGGAACTAAATGAAGATAGGACAATTAGCATTTCTTTTGTTGTTACTACATATAATTACACTTCGTGCATGCTAATTTGTGGTTACAGGCTCTTGCGCTCTACGCCCTCTTATGTTTCAAGCTATAGAAAAATAAACAAATGGTATTAGAGCAGCACTATGATACAGAATAGTGTGTTTTTGGTTTTTGTCAATTTTTTTATAATTTGTGTGTGTGTGTGTGTGTGTGTGTGTGTAAATGTGCTAAGTGCACAATCTCTTTGGCCGCACGCACCGCACCGTTTCATTTCCCCACCAAGTCCAGCAGTTTCCTGTTGCTCTGAGCTTGCTGAGCTAACTGCTCATCCCTGGCCATGCCCAAGACTTCCCGGAGGAGGTGGAAAGTGAGATCCAGCGAGATGGGCGCCTCTTCGGACCGCCGTTGCTTCTCCTCCTCCGCAGCTGCACCACCCGTGGGGCTGGTAAGCGCGCGCTGGGGCTGCTGCCGCAGCCACTCGCGGTAAAAGTTGGCCACCCCTGACGTAGAGTGGCTGCCACCCTGAAGGGTCGAGGAGCGGCCAGAAGTCGGGACAGATGGGTTCCTGCTGAGGTTCCCCAGGCGGAGGTAGTACTCTTCACCCACGCGAAGCAGGACGGGCCGAGGCTGTGGCTTCTGGGGCTGCTCCGACTGCGGCTGCTGCTGGAAGAAATCCTGGGGCTGGGAACCCTTGGGAGCCTGACGGGCGCCCAGGGTGGACCCCCGAGTGAGGAAGGCCCGGCATGGCTGGCAGGGCAGCAGAGCCACCCACAGGACGCCCACGGCCACGAGCAGAGGCAGCCGCATCTTAGGAGCGCTCGCTGCAGCACAAGAGGCAGGAGGTGGGCGGAGGATGAGGGAAGAGAAGAAAGAAAGAGTTGGTTAGAGTTTAACTCAACTAGGAGATGCGCTGGGAGATGCAGTCTACAGGCACCGACGCGCAGGCGCTGCTGCAAGCGCGGGGCTCTGTCCGCGGTGCTGAAGCTGCTGGTCAAAATCCCACCCAGTTGTGATGTTGGAGAAGCCAGAAAGGGATCTTCTGTGGGTGAACTCTCAGGTGGAGCAAGCAAGGGACTCCTGTACGAGGGAGATTTGCGCCAAAGAGCAGCCCCTTGTCAGGCTGGCGTGTCGTTCCTACTTCTGAGACCCCCGAAGGGGCAATCTCTGAGTCCTCTTTCTGAGGATCCCAAAGATTGCTTTCCTTGGGCACTTAGATTTAAAATTTTACCCAATCTGGTTCCTCCCTTATTTCCCTTTAAGCTGAGGGAACTATGTCCTCCTCCTCTTCTCCCACCATTTCCACCCTTCTTTCCACCTTGTCGCCTACACAGCCAGCGAGGAGCACCTGGGAGTCTAGGTAAAGACAAGCAGCCGTCTAAGTTGGCTTTAGAGACCTCTCAGCTCACGCCAGGATCCTGGAGGCAGTCAGGTAGCAGGCGCGCAAGCAGCAGGGGGACTGATAGTTTCCAAAGCGCACAGCTCCACAGCTCGCGCTGCGCAAAGTTGGTGGCCACTGGACCGGGCGCTCCCTACCTTCCAAGGCGTTTCAGCAGGTGAGCCCAGCAGCTGCTGCCCCTCTGCAGAGAGACTTCTGGGGGCTTTCTCTGGAGATTTTCTCCCCTTCTCCTTCCAGTTCCCACTCTCTCTTTCTCTCTTCCCTCTCTCTCTATTCAGTCGCCGTCTGGATTAGGGCTCAGAGTTCTTCCACACCAGAGGCTGGAGTGGGATTTTATAGCATCGACCCTCTTCAGAAACCACGCAGCATTTGCCTAATAAGCTGACGCTCTCTTGACAGCTCGATTGCGTGCTGCTTCTGCTGCTGCATAAATCATAGGGCCCTGACAGAGAGCATGGGGCAAAGTTTTGCTATCTCAATACGGAATCTCACATCCAATTATATCAACAGATATTTATCGCTTCCGTGTTGACGTCAATGAGCCCTAAAATGGAAGGGCTCCTTATGACTTGTCCATTGACAAAAATTCTTGAATGAAATTTCCCAAGTGTGAAAGAATATTTACCTCTTACTATGAAAGGCCAAATTTGGGGTCAGAAAAGAGTAAATGGCAAGAGAAAGGGGAAATACAGGTCAATCAATGTCTAGTTACATGGGCTGGAACTAGATTCTTCTCTCTTCCTCCTAATCTCTCAGACCAGATATCTTCTGCAAACCCAAGTATCTGAAAAGATCTCTTTCCTGCAGTCATAGCCCCATCATCTGTCAGGCTGAAGAATAAGAACAAGGAGATGAGTTAAGAACAGCCAGTTCTTAAGCCTCTGTTTGATTTTTTTCCCCCCTTCCCAAGAGCAGATAAAGAAATCATGGCTCTGCCTAGGCAAGACCAATCCAGAGGTCATGGGGGGGGGGAGAGTGTTGGGGGGGTGTTCCATGCTAACAGGAGCTACTGTTCAGTGATGAGAGACACAAACCAGGGCCAACCAGAATTACTGCAAAAATTTTAGGTTCTTACAGAATTTTATTGTTTTTCTTTTGTCTCTGACCTTAGAATCTGAAAATCATCATGGAGTTTTTAAATCCCAAGAGATTAAGGAGACAAGACAAGAGAGAGGTACATGAGTTACTTAGTTACTTTACTTAGCTTTGTTCTTGCTTAATTCTTATCCAGTCAGTTCCAACTTCTAATGAGTACATGTGTACGGAGATCTGATTTCTTGAAAACAACACTGTAAACTCTGATGGATGGCCTAGTGATAAGGAGTTGCACTTTCAGCCCAAAGACATGTGGTTCAAATCTACCTATGGCTCCAGGGGAGAAAGATAGGTCGTCTCATGTGATTTGCAGTCTCTGACAACCTGCCAGAGGGTCAGCTATGAGTCAATTCTGTCTAGATGGCATATGATAACAACCACCTTCCAGAAGCAGATCATCAGGCCTATTTTTGGAGGTACCTCAGGGTATGTTAAAATTACCAACCCATTTTTAGCTAATACTTAAACTGCTCAATGCAAATCCAGTGAGAGAAGCATCCATTCTAACTTTGATACTTAAAGGAGGAAAATCATAAACTGATTATAGGATTGAATGCATCAATTGCATATTTATTATCTTTTCTTTGTCTAGTTTTTACTTGTTTGTTGAGTATACACACAGCAAAACAAATTCTGATTCAACAATTTCTACATTTAGTAAGAACTGAGTTTTTGATGTATACTATTTCTCACTATTCTTTTCTGAATTATTCTTCTCCAATTAGCAAGTTCATTACTTTATAATATTCTGAGTTGCTTTGTCAGTTTGATCTTATATAGTTAATGGAGAGGGTGAAACCGGGTTGCCCCTTGGAAGCAAAGATTTTGAAACTCTGTCTCACATACTTAGGTCATGAAATTTTAATTCAATTCTGCATCCCACACTTTTAAATCAATATTATCCTAAGGTATTATAGATTATTGAATTATAGATTATTAATTTTTTAAATGTTCAATAATAGGAGCTGGGCATCAACCATTCTTCTGGTCTCATTGGAAAGGAGGAAGTTGTAACTGTTGTTTCCTCTCAATATAGTGTCTTCAAACTCCTTTCATACTGTAGCACGTTTCAAGACTTCATTTGTACCACTGATTATTATTCCATTACATGTTTGTACTACATTTTGTTTAATTTATCTGTTGATGAACATTTAGATTGTTTCTGCCTTTTGACTATCGTGAATGATGCTGCAATGAACATTGGTATACAAGTTTCTGTCTGAGACCGTTTCAAGTGTTTGAAGTATATACCTATCTAGAAGTGGGCAATCTCCTTCCTTCTTTGGATTCACAATCTTGGAAAATCCATTGAATGGTCAGCTGAATTTTGTTCTGACTTGACAGCAATGAATATATGTGAGTGACTGATGACATTGAGCACCTGTTTGCGTGCTGGGTCAGTCTTTTTTGGCAAAATGCTAATTTTATGATTGAATTTCTTATCTTTTTGTTGTTAAATTGTCGAAGTTTTGTATGTATTCTTGTTATTAGGTTCTTGTTAAATATATAGTTTTCAAAGTTATTTCCTGAGTTAATGGTTTGCTTCCCACATTTTTGGTAGTCTTCTGTTAACAAGAATTTCCCATTAGTGGTAAGAATTTGCACTGCAATCCCAAAGGCACATGGTTTGAATCTGAAGCTTCTCCACAGAAGAAGGATGGGCAATCTCCTCCCATGCAATTTAAGTCTCTGAAAACCAGCTGGAGGATCTGCTATTGGTCGGTTCTTGCTCAATGGTACACAACAACAACAATTTATCTTATCTTTCGCCATTTATGTGTTTAGATCTCTTGTTGAGGCTAGATGTGTGCTATTAGAACTCTTGTTGAAGCTAGAACTGACGCCTTTACCTCTACTTATTCTTATAAGATTTTCATGGTTTTAGTTTGCACATTTAGGGGTTTAATCAATTTTTATTTTGGTTTTTCTGCATAGTTCAAGGAAAGGATTTAATATTATTCTTTTTCGTGTAAAGTTCAATTTTATAAGCACCTTTTATTGAAGAGATTCATTTCCCATGAGATGAACTTAGCACCCTTGTATAAAATAGTTGCATATAGATTGTGGTTTTATTTCCAGAGTTTCAATTCTATTCCATTTGTCTGCATGTCTGTGTCTATACAAGTATCAGGCAGTTTCATTTACTTTAACTGTTGTTGTCATTGTTAGGTGCTGTTCAACTGACTACCACCTTATAAACTTTGATCTGAACTTTGCCTTATTCTGCACTATCCTCTCTCATTCCTCTTTGGCCTTCCTCTCTTTCGCTGATTCTCTGCCTTTCCTAGCATGATATCTTTGTCCAAGGACTGGCCCCTTTTGAAAGCATGCTCAAAATATGTGAGACAAAAATTCTTGCCTCTGTTGAGCTTTCTACTTGCACTTCCTCCAACATAGATTTGTTTATTCTTTTGGTAGCCCAAAGTGTGTTCAATACCCTTTCCCAATACCACAATTCAAAGGCATGTTTTTAAATTAGATCTGTGAATAAGTAGGTAAGGAGTTGCTCTGCCAACCCAAATGCAGGAAATTTGAATCCATCTGTGGCTCCAAGGAAGAAAGATGAGAAATTTCCTCTCATGTGATTTACCTACTGGAGGGTCAGCTATGAGATGGTTCTGATTAGAGGGCACATGACAACAATAATTTCTATTTTAGAACCAGGAAGTCTGAGTCCCATACCTTTGTTCATTTTCAACATTGACTTAGTAATTTGGAATAATTTACCATTCCATGTAATGTTGAGTATTGGTTTTTCTGTTTTTATAATGATGGTTGTTAGAATTTTGATCAGAATTACCTTGAATTTATAGATTACTTTATAGTTATAGTATTAACGTCTTTAAAATATTAAACTTTCCAATAAATGGAACATCTGACCATTTATATAAGATTTTTTTACTCTTTCAGTAGTGTTTTATAGTTTTCATTGCTTAAATCCTTTATATTTCTGGTTATATTTATTTCTAGCTATTTTATCTTCGGAGATGCTGTTGTAAATGAAATGGTTTCCTTGGTTTCCTGAATTTCCTTTTCAGAGGGTTCAGGTTCCACAGTTCATAGTAAGTTGCACTGCTAGCTTAAAGGAGGTGCCTCTCTGGTGTTTAAATCTACCATTGGGAGAAATATGGGCAGTCTCCTCCAATGTGATTTACAGCCTCCTGAAAATCTGTTGAAGTGTCAGCTATGAGTCAATTCTGATTTGACTGCAATGAGCTGAGTGTATAGAAACTAGCTGACTTTTGATTGTTACTCTTGTACCCTGCAACTTTGCTAAACTCTTCTATTAGCTCTGTAAGCTTTCTTGCAGACTCTT